GGTGCCGCTGCTGGGACGCGTTCTGGTCCCTGGGGACCGCGGAGAGGGGGCTGGGCCAGCCTGGCCGCACGGCTCCGTTTTTCCCCGGCGCCCGGATTCGGGTGTTTCGGCCGCCGCCTGGCTCTCCTTCGGCTGCCTTTGCCATGCTTCCCTTGGCATCAGCTCTACCACCTGCACCACAGCTCCGGCCTCCCCGTTCCCTCCCGAGGCGTCTGAGCATGCTCCCGCTCCCCCGCTTCTTCCTCTCTAGACCACGGTTTCCTTTTGGAAGTTGTGTTCTCATGTACCATGTCAGTGTTCCCCAGCTGAACCATATCCTTGATTAGGCTCTCGAGCAGGACACTCCTGGTGGTATTAAAACAGCGAAATAGAGCCTGAAAATTTTGGGTTTGACCAAATAAGATCCCTAAGGCCTTCTGCTTTAGCCATTCTCCTTTGCCTCTATCTGGGTAGGGGAGAGATGATGGCACAGTTGGTAGAGGGTCCCTGTGGACCACGTTAACCAGGAAGATCTGAAGTTAGTTTTGCTTCACACACCCCTCCCTTCCCGTTTTGCATTTCTCTGAATCCTAGTTTATTTGCATCTGATTCCAGAACAGGCATGTTGAGGAAGAAAGGCAGGATCCGGGGTACAGAATGTTTAGATTCTGACACTCCTTTGTTTTACAGGCTACTGGAAGATGAAAGAGACTATACAAGGGACCGGGTCTTGGGGGCCTGAGCCTTCAGGACCTGGCATAGCTCCAGCTTACTCAAGCCCTAGGCGAGAGCGTCTTCGTTGGCCCCCACCCCCCAAACCTCGACTCAAATCAGGTGGCGGGTTTGGGCCAGATCCTGGGTCAGGGAACACAGTGCCAGCCAGACGCCTCCCTGTCCCTCGGCCTTCTTTTGATGCCTCAGCTAGTGAAGAGGAAGAAGAGGAGGAGGAGGAGGAAGATGAGGAAGAAGAAGTGGCAGCTTGGAGGCTGCCCCCGAGATGGGGTCAGCTGGGAGCCATCCAGCGCCCTCGCCCTCCCCGCCCTACTCATCGAAAAACCTGCTCACAGCGCCGTCGTAGAGCTATGAGAGCCTTCCAGATGCTGCTCTACTCAAAAAGCACCTCGCTGACATTCCACTGGAAGATTTGGGGGCGCCACCGGGGCCGGCGGCGGAGCCTTGCACACCCCAAGAACCATCTTTCACCCCAGGAAGGGGGTGCGACACCACAGGTGCCATCCCCCTGCTGTCGTTTTGACTCCCCCAGGGGGCCACCTCCCCCTCGGCTGGGTCTGCTAGGTGCTCTCATGGCTGAGGATGGGGTGAGAGGGTCTCCACCAGTGCCCTCTGGGCCCCCCATGGAGGAAGATGGATTAAGGTGGACTCCAAAGTCTCCTCTGGACCCTAACTCGGGTAAGGTGGGAATAGGGTGGAGGAAGGGGTGGGGAGGGCTAAGATTCTAGAGAACCAGGAGCCTCTTGCTGTGATGAAAACGGCCTAAGGAAAGGAGGATGGCAGAGTGAGGGCGAGGCGGTGGTGGTGGTGTCCAGAATAGCTGTGAGATGTCCTAAGCCCCACTTTCAGCAGGAACTAAGGGGAGGTAGTCAAGGCTGGGATACAGAATCCTTAAATAGGTGTTCGTTCTGTGCATAGATGAAAAGGGGAGACATGGTTTAGAAAAGTCAGTCTTGTCCACTTGAAATCCCTCTTCTTCATTCAGTCTTTGAGGATAAAGGCCCTGCGGGTGCATCTCCAGAGGGTGCCATTCTCATAGTGGTGGGATGGGATCTCTGAGTTGTGGAGTGTACGTCACCTGTATGGTTGTGTGTGGCATTCTCATTCAGAATATTTCTCTTTTGGAGAATCACACTAAACAATTTAGGCTGTGTTTTTACTAATTATTTATTGAGAGCCTTTGCTATATATGTCAGGTACTGTGCTAGGTGCATCTCTCTGACTCCGTAGTCTTGCTTTTCTCCTATGAGTACAGTTAACCCTTAATACAGATTTTAACAGTGTGAGTCCACTTATATTTGGAGTTGGCCCTCCATGTCTGTGAGTTTCACATCTGGGGATTCAAACAATCATGAATCAAAGACCTTTTTTTGTTTTGCTTATCCTCACCTGAGGATATTTTTAAAAAATTTTTGTTGTTGTTGAGAGAATGGAAGGGAGAGAGACAGAAACATCAATGTGAGAGAGACATATTGATTGGTTGCCTCCCACTTGTGCCCCCCAACCGGGGCCTGGGGCTGAATTTGCGTCTGCAATCAAATTAAGTGCCCTTGACCAGAATCAAACCGCAACCCTTCAGTCCTCAAGCCAATGCTCTAACCACTGAGCAAACGGCTAGAGCTCGAAGACTATTTTCAGTACGCAGTTGGGAATCCACAGATGCAAAAGCCTGATTATATGCATTGTGCTTTACCATTTTACATAAGGGGTTTGAGCATATGTGAATTTTAGTATCCACAGGGATCCTGGAATCAATCCCCCATAGATACTATGGGACAGCTGAGTTTTGGGGGGAGTTAAAAGTTATACATGTGTGAGGGGGATGTAGTGTCCTTAACCCCCACATAGTTCAAAGGTTAACTAGTAACTCTTCCTCTCTATCGCTATATAACCTCTTGGACATGCTTATCTTATGCTTTAGGTTCTCCTTTCCTTAAGAGTTTATATTGATCTTCCCATTGTCCTTTGATCTGAACCAATTTTTCATCCCCATCCTGTTCCCCTGCCCTACAGGCCTCCTCTCTTGTACTCTGCCCAACGGCTTTGGGGGACCATCTGGGCCAGAAGGGGAGCGAAGTCTGGCACCCCCTGATGCCAGCATCCTCATCAGTAATGTGTGCAGCATCGGGGACCATGTGGCCCAGGAGCTTTTTCAGGGCTCAGATTTGGACACTGCAGAAGAGGCAGAGCGGCCCGGGGAGAAAACTGGCCAGCATAGCCCCCTGCGGGAGGAGCATGTGACCTGCGTGCAGAGTAAGGAACCCTAGGGGACCTAGTCTCTTTCCCTCAACAGACTCCTAGATCAGAGTCTGGAAGTCTTACCCTAGTACTCTTTCCCTCCTGCATTCAGGCATCTTAGATGAATTCCTTCAAACTTACGGCAGCCTCATCCCCCTTAGCACTGATGAGGTAGTAGAGAAATTGGAGGACATTTTCCAGCAGGAGTTTTCTACGCCTTCCAGGTGAGGCATCAAAGCGATGCCCTTTAGAAGAGGGCTGGGATTTAGGGGGTGGGCAGAGAACACTGCTTTTTCTGTCATAGGGATGTACTTGGGAAGAAGGAGGAAGCTAGAACTGAAGCAGGGTAATCTGCAGGCAAAGTGCCTGGGAGGGTCTTTACCTGGAATCCTGAAATACTGTGTATACCTGAGTATTCGTGTGCTTCTTTCTGAGGAGTAGGCCTTTAGCAGGTCTCAAAAGGGACCTATGACCCAGAAAAGGGGGGAAGATTAGACTCATCCTAGACAACAGAAGGGACTTCTGTGTGCCCTAGCCCCCTTGTCTTTTGAGTGACTCCATCCTTGGCCCACTCAGGAAGGGCCTGGTGCTACAGCTGATCCAGTCCTACCAGCGGATGCCAGGCAATGCCATGGTGAGGGGCTTCTGAGTGGCTTATAAGAGGCATGTGCTGACCATGGATGACTTGGGGACCTTGTATGGACAGAACTGGCTCAATGACCAGGTGAGGAGGAGAGAAACAGGCCCAAGAGGGAGCAGGGTGTCTGGGGCCCTCTTCATGGGAAGACCCCTGTACCCATATCACAGCCTCCATGGCAAGTTGTCTTCCATCTTCTCCCCAGGTGATGAACATGTATGGAGACCTGGTCATGGACACAGTCCCTGAAAAGGTAGGCCTAACCAGGTGCTTCAGTTCCCAGGAGAATTTCCACAGTTCTGAGCAGCTTTTCAGTCCCTTTCATCTCCCATTTTACATAAAGAGGGTCCTAGTTTCTGGGGAGAGGTGGTGGAAGGTAATCTGTTAAATTAAAATCTATAGTCTTGGTCCTGAATTTAACAAGTCTATTTCTTTCCTCCAGTCTTTAGTGTTTTTCCCCTATGGCTAACCCACAAATTGGGATAGGAAGCCCTAAGATAAAGTTACAAACATGTTTGGGGGTTTTTCTCTCTGTCAGTTGGGATGCAGGTTGTTGAAAGCAGTCTTTAGAGCCATAATGAAAGGAGAGGACACTGGAGGCCTGAGGTTTTTAATTCCATCCAGCTCTTTTCTATCATTGGCACAGGTGCATTTCTTCAACAGTTTCTTTTACGATAAACTTCGCACCAAGGGTTATGATGGGGTGAAAAGGTGGACCAAAAACGTGAGTTATGAATTTACATCTACTTATGTTAACACCTTGCCTTTAAAGAATTAGA